AAAAATGTACTTGCTCTGTCCATAAACAACATAGAGGATCCCTGATTCCTCTGACAGAAAGTTTTAATGACAAATCTTATGGGAACCCTCTTGATAATTAAGCCAGGTTGAAATTGTGCATTTACAGCATGAAGCACTGACTCTTTAAAGAAATGCATTGCAATGGAAGATGTTCAGATGTTGGTAGAGTTTTGTAGCAATTGACTGGAATTAGCCAACTCAAAATCATAACATCCACTAATGGATGTTATGGATAGACGTCTCTTAATGTTTTTACTTTAAATTAAGAACACATTCAGGTTTCTGGAGTATCTGCTTAGCACAGTAAGAGAAATAAGGAAACACCAGAAAAACACTAAACTCGTCCTTTAGTGTGAGCGTGTGCATACATGAAAAGTCTGCATTTTGCCCTATAATTTTTTAATGGCTTTTGTCCACCTTGATGTAAATTGTACGTATTTGTTTCTGTCTAACCCTATTTTGTAACCTAAAAATCGTGCAATGCTGTATCAGAAGTGATTCAAATGAGTTAAATAGAGCATACCATGTGTATTAGAAAAATAATCAGGATTACTAAGCTATATTTCCTACTTATTTATTTTTAACTTTATGCACAGAAACTGGAAATATGACATACAGAGGTTTGTTGTGTTCTTTATTTTTCTTAGTTGTTGTCCAGAGGTCAGTGAGATTACCACTTTTGCACCCCCTAAATTAAGATGAAACCAGATATTTACATGCATTGGATAAAAAGACATGTACACGTTTTTTCTTGCTGTCTCAAGCTAAATCTGACAATTTTTTTCTTGGTTTAGGTCAATTAGAATTTACAAAATTTGTGTAATGAGAACATTTATTTTTTATTGTTGGCTGAAGCTGGTAAGAGAGTTTAATTATCCACAGTGAAACAAGTCCTGTATCTACATGGGCAGAAAGGCCTTTCAGTGAAGAAAAAGCCACTACTTACTTCACAAAGTGAGAAAAAATATTTTTGTGACTTTTTGTTTAGCGCGTGTAAATATCCAGTTTCAACTGCATACCTTTTGACATTGTTAAGTACCAAATATATTCATTTCTAAGCAAACCAGCCAGCAAGGGATTGGCTTAAGCTAGATTTGCCAGAACATCTGCTCGTGTTTACCCACATGTAATAAATTCACAGGGGATAGCTTACTGAAGTGCACAGCTCGGCTCAGCATGCATCACCATATTTTTTTCTTTGTTTATTTTTTATTTTTATTTACTTTTTTTATCTAGATTGCTATATTGTTATCAATATGGAGTTTTTTTTTAATCCTTGTCCAGCACTGGGAGGGAAGAAAGGGGTAAAGGGCATGAGGTTGTTTTAGTGAATCAGATGTCATAAGAGATTTTATAACTCATGTTGTTGATGAAATTCTCATAGAAAAACTTTTCTGAAGTGTGAGATTTTTGAGTGTCTATTCTTTGTACTAGGAACTTTATGCGTTTTACAGTGTAAATAAATATTAGCACACAACACAATGTTTTCAACAATTCTTCCACTTTTTGAGCTTTCAGGATTCAAATTAAATATCTTAATGTAGAATCGATGTAAACATGAGTAATTTAATTGATAAATATTTAACAGTTTTTGGACGGTGCAATGACATTTTGAATACGAGCTTACTTTTAAAAAAAACGTAATTATTTATACAAAGTAGTTTGGGATTTTTGTCATTCTTTACAGAATCTTTACAGAAAGATGTTGAAGGTTTTGGAACATTACCTATTCTTTTAGAAAAATTATATTTCTTTTTTAAGTTAAAAATGTATATAAAAAAAATAGTGATAACTTGAAGAGCCTTAGTGTACACATCATCCCTTTAAATTTAGACTGACATCTTCCATACATACCATTTGGTCCAAATAATTTCTACATTGAGATAACAGAGATATGTTCAGAAGATCATAATGGATTGAATTATAATACCAAATCCTTCACGTTAAGCTGCCAAAACATATCCAGAGGCCCCTTCAAGAGCTCAGATATCAAGTTTCTCTGATTTAATGTTAGAACATTTTAAACAGTAAATTAGACTCATGGTCATTAAAGATTTATGCTCTAAAGGTACGCAGCTTAGACACAGTGGGCAGTTAAAAGGCTTAAAGATAGTGGTAATAAAGGACCTGTTGAAAGTGAAAGGCTGTGTAAAGAGAGCTCCATCATTCTGTTTACCCTCCGGTATTGAACAAGTGAATTGTGAAGTTAGATATTAAATATTCATTGTGATACTGTAAATAAGTCAGATATTGATACGACAGGGGCATGTGTGTGTGTAAGGTAAGTGAGTCAAGCATGGAGAAATCTGAGGATCGTTCCAGTCTAGAAGGTCTTGAGCACATCACTTAGATCACTGATAGACAGCATATGACACGCATGAACAGGCACTCCGTCCAAACAAGATAACACTCACACTTCATAAGGCAAACACCACTGCCAGCCATTTAAAATCTAAGAAAGACGTCCACTGGTTTACATCTGTTCCTGTGTGTATGCATGTTGACGTGTGTGGACGCACGTCAACATACATAGACACATGCCACAGAAATAGTGCGGGTTTGTGTGTGTATCGGTGTGCGTGTGTGTGCGTCCGTGCCTGTGTGTAGGTTTGCTTGGCCTTTGCCACAGCTCCAGTTTCTTCTTCAGCATAAGGTTACCCAGTGTAGTCCATGAAAGATAAAGCATTCTCGCTTAAAGCAGAAGAGCAGCAGGAAGTTGCAGGAGTAGAGCTCACAGAAAATTCTTGTATCTTTCTCTAGCTGTAGAAATTTCCTGCCATATCGTAAAGACCAGATCTGGAGAGCATCTGTTTAAAAGAAGGTAAAATCTGTGCCGCTTATGCACTTCTCTGATTTACATCCTGTTTAAAAGATTTATTATCGGGTTCATTCTGCAAAATGGAAGCTCAAAAAAGGATATTTTGCAGAGGTCTTGCTGGTTTAAGAGGCCTCAGAGAGGTCAGCTTGTACTGGGTTTATATGTGTAAAATATATGAAGTTTATTCTAGGATAAATTTCAAACATTTTTTATGCATATCCATTTTATATTGTATTTTGCTTTTTAGTTGTCCAAATCTTTTTCAAAAGTTTTATTTACTTTGTTTCAGTACAGTGTTTTGAGTCCTGCAGAGCTTGGCGTCAATATAATATTTAACTATTTAATAATAGGACTATATAGTCATTGTGAGAACACTGTTTTATATATAGACAGATGTTAAATTCACACCATTTTTGTTTAATTCTAATATTACTTGCTGAATTCATGACATAATTGGAATAGAGTACCAGAATATTATTGAGTTGGATTTGACTGAAATTGGATTTTAAACTAGATCGTTTGGCATTGGGTTTAGTTTATTTGCATGGTTTTGAAATAAATAGGATCGTATGTAACTGGATCTGAATCCAAGGGTTTGATTTTCCCTTGAATCTTTTCCAGCAGAATTGAAAAGGCAGGCGACACAAATACATTTTCAAAGATGAAATGCTATTTGATTTTCTAGAACTGAGCAAACATGTTTGTTAATCATGAATATACTGGAATATTAAAATAAAGTATTTGTGTTTACAAGAGACTGGTTGATTTATATTCTGTGATAGTAATCTTTGTGCTTCCTTCATGCGATATTCATTATATATTTCCTTCCTCGTGATAAGTAATTCCTCTTCCTTGCCAGAGGTTCTTTCTCATCATCCCGTCTATCCATCCACCCACATCACAGCTCCCATTTTGTCTCATTGTCACTTTCCCTTTTTTGCAGCACAGTTCTCTTCCCACCCAGTCCTTCCACCCACATTTATCTTCCCAACAATTTCCATGTCATTCTCCTCATTCACTTGCTTTTTGTCTATTTCTTGCAGAACAGGGCTGGAATCAGCATTGCTGGTTTTAGGTGTTGATTCATCCTTGAAGACTTTAATTAAACATCTGCAGACATTTCAGTCACATATTTAGTCACTTAAAGGAGCAGTATTATGTATTTCCAGGGACATGGTGCCATTTTATTACACAATCAACTGAATGTAACTGTGTTGCATTCAGTATTTCTATTTTATGCCTTTTTTAGACCAGTTAAATGGTACACAATCAAGGGTAGTTAAGTGTAATCACAAATGACAAAGGTTTCCAGTATCATGGCCTCTGGAAATTACATGTCATTGTGCAGTTTAAATGTCTTGTCTGGAAGAAGGGAGACCCATGCTATTACTTTACCCCAATTAATTATGCATTAATTTATGCAAAGCCATGGTTACCTTGCACTACCCTGTCCTTGTGTAGGTTGTAGTGAGGGCACTGCAAAGGGTACACTTATGTTCCCTTTCAGGTGCACAGGTGTACACTACTGCAACCTTATATACAATATGAAAAGTAATTAGCAAATATTTGTCTGATTATCTACTGATTTTTACATTACAAGATATAAAATGTTTGACCTGATGAAAACTTCAAATAAACACTGGTGTGGCAAGAAAATTTTTAAAACATCTCTTAAAATTTATCAAAATTATTTTTCATCCATTGTCTTTATCCCCTTAGCCTTGCAGTTTCACAGAGGCTCTGGTGCCTGTCTACAGTAGTCATTTAACATGAGGCAGGGTACGACTTGGACAAGTCACCAATCTTTTTCAGGCCAACACACACAGGAAAAGCAATCATTCATACATTCACACACTCTCTCAAGACAATTTTGAGAGACTGATTAACATAATGTGCAGGTTTATGGACTTTAGGAGGAAACCGGAGTACTTAAAAAGAGCACATGACAACAGTGCTAATAACTGCAACATCCATCCCTAAGGTCAATAATTGCAACTTCAAAAGGCTGTAGAAACGTGTTAAAGTTATGCCTTTGCAACTGCTTCTTCTATTATGCCATTTCCAAAAAGAAGAAACAATCAAAGATAAAATAATGCATTTTTAGACATGGTAATATAAAATGTATCTGACCACTGGTCAAAACTGACAAATTCTCTTTACTCTGTCTTTTCTTTTATAGGTGTTGAAGGAAAGCTAAGAACAGCAATGGCTTCCTGTTTGTCCTATGGGTCTTCCTAAAGACTCAGCTCTGGTGCGCTGATGCTGCTACATATTTCGACAACTGAGCTATCCCTCTGTTACTCAGAGTGTGAGATTCTCTTATCCTGGTAGTTTTAAGGCATTGCACTGGCTGAACCCCAGCCATGGAGGTGGCCCTGGTTGACTTTGAGAGCCTGGAGGACATTAGTGGCGCCCTTGAGGATGAGATTGACACCTATGCTGATGAGACAACAGCTCTCACAGTGGAGGTTCCTCCAGAGCAAAACAGCTCTGACATCAATAACCGTCTGCGACCCCATCAACTCTCCTCCACCCCTTCACATTACAACCCGATGTCCTCCTACATTTGGGAATCCACCTCATCTTCACCCATTCCACCAACGCAAACACTGGAAGTACCTCACTCACCAGTGATGCCATCACCAAGCAGAAAGGGTCGCAGTAGTTGTGCCAGTATTATCTCCAACTGGAAGCTGCTGTTAAACAGCGAAGGCATGAAGGAAAGTGAAACGATCTTCAGTCGGCTCACGAAGGAGTGCTGTGAGGATCTGTTTGCAGATAAAAGAGGGTTGGATGATGGAGACCAGAAAGTCATCATCAACATAGCTGGTCTTCGCTTTGAGACACAGCTCAAAGCACTGGACCAGTTTCCTGAGACACTTCTTGGAGACCCCTTTAAGAGGATGGAGTACTTTGATCCAATGAGGAACGAATACTTCTTCGATCGGAATCGACCAAGTTTTGATGGAATCTTGTATTACTATCAGTCTGGCGGCAAAATTAGAAGACCAGCTAATGTTCCCCTTGATGTGTTTGCTGATGAAATTGTATTCTATGAGCTCGGACAAGAAGCTATGGAACAGTTCAGAGAAGATGAAGGATTCATAAAAGATGTTGACATACCTCTCCCTAAAAATGAAATCTATAGGCAATTTTGGCTCCTGTTTGAATACCCAGAGAGCTCCAATGCGGCACGGGGTGTAGCACTAGTTTCTGTCTTGGTCATTGTCATATCTATCATCATATTCTGCATGGAGACACTGCCGGAGTTCAGAGATGACACTGAACTCTTTGCTCCAAGAGTGGTTCAACATGTCAACCAGTCCAAAGTATCCCACACTGGCTCTTTAGCTGGTACAAAGCTCAAAACATTATCCGATCCTTTCTTTTTTATTGAAACTGCCTGCATAGCTTGGTTTGCCTTTGAGTTGATCGTTCGGTTTGTGGTGTGCCCAAGCAAAAGTGAGTTTTTCCACAACCTCATGAACATGATCGACATTATATCCATTATCCCCTATTTTGTAACTTTGATCACAGAACTGGCCACAACCCCTCAGGAGAACTCAGGACAGAACATGTCCTTGGCCATTTTGCGTATCATCCGCTTGGTCAGAGTCTTCCGTATTTTCAAGCTGTCACGTCACTCAAAGGGACTGCAGATCCTGGGACAGACTCTAAAAGCAAGCATGCGGGAGCTTGGTTTGCTCATCTTCTTTCTTTTCATTGGAGTTATTCTTTTCTCCAGTGCCATCTACTTTGCTGAAGTAGATGACCCTGACACACAGTTTGTCAGCATTCCTGACGGGTTCTGGTGGGCTGTGGTGACCATGACAACTGTAGGTTATGGAGACATGTGTCCTATCACACTTGGGGGGAAAGTGGTGGGCACACTGTGTGCAATTGCTGGTGTGTTGACAATTGCTTTGCCTGTTCCCGTCATTGTCTCCAACTTCAATTACTTTTACCACAGAGAGACAGAAGCAGAGGACAAGGTTCCCATGACAGAGGCTCTCGAGCAAGCCATAAATGCGGAAGAAAGTACCAAACAGGGTAGCAATCCTTCAGTTAATAAGGTCAATGGTATCTGACAGAGGAAAAGGAGAAAAACTGCTGACTAAGAAATAACTTATCCATCAAGCAGCAAAAATAGTAGGGAATATAAAAGGAATTAAATTTTAGTGAGAATGAATGCAAAAAATGAACTTAAGATTGAATAAACAGTTATTCTTTTGGTGAAAAAAAAAAAAGTTTTATAGCAACAAACAGGGTGTACCAGACTTACCTCTTGTATTTATGTATTTATTTATTTTTGTATGAAAATGGCACTTTGTGGATTTATCTGAAAATTCACTGTTATTGTTTAGGAATTTTTGTCATTCTTCACTATTGTACGTTAACTTCATTGTTTGTTGTAGCTTTCAATATGTAAGTCTTTCATTGCTATCACTCAAGATGCAAATTAAGTGTTAAACAGTTTCATTGTTAACATTGTTTTTTTTCATAAACTTTGCCATTTGTTCTCATAATCTTAGCTTTTTTTGGTTAAAAAACATTTAAGCGCATATCTTTATTTACAACACAAATTTCAGACATTTAATGTCAAATGTAGCTAAAGGTGAAGATCATAACTATGACCACAAATTAAATGTATATAATGCTCTACAAAAGTATTCATATTCGTTGAACTTTTACAAAGTCACTCAAATTTGGTAGTGTTACAACTACAGGCCTCAGTATATTTTAGTAGAACCCTATAAGGTGGACTAAAACAAACTAATGCAGAATTGTGAAGAGGGAGTATGGCAAGACTTTAAACCCCCCACAGTCATCCAGCTCAACCAACAGACCATACAAGGAGAGCATTAATTAAATGCCAAAAGCCATATTGGGAACACATCAAACAATACGTTGTTTTGACCAGGTTAGAATAAAATGTAACTTTTTGACCCACATGCAAAAACTACACCACTATATTTCATTTGCAGTGTTGGCAGCATCATGCTTTAGACACGCTTTTCTTCGCAGTATCAGGAAAGGTGGTAAGGGATTATTGAATAATGGATGGAGCTAAGTACAGGCAATTCTTGATAAAAATCTGTTATGGCCACATAAGTCTTGGAGGTTCATCATCCAGGAGGACAGTGAGCTTAAAACATAGGTACTATGTAATGGAAGGGATTGAATCAAAGCCCAAGTCCATATTTGTTTGTGAAAGTGTAGCAAGAGTTGAAGAATTACTGTTTCCAATCCCACCCAAAAAAAAAAACTTTGAAAAACCATTACAAATGAACAGCCTTTTAATAAAAAATTTTCTGCAAAACCCACGTTTCTATAAACTGACCAAAGATACCAAGATCTTATCGGATATCTGTCCAAATTCTGGTGTATTATTTTGGTTCGGAAACATTACTTGCGCAGCCAACCCTAAAATGTTGCTAAGGATAAACTTATTTTGATTGGGAGTACGGCCAGGTCTTACCTAATACAACCAAAGTTTTAAAATAATACGTAAAAAAAAAAAAAGCTGACAGAGTTCCTTTAATTTTGTTTGTGAATAATGTTTTCATTTTAGTGCTGCTGTGTTTGTTTACTTAAAAATATTGTTTTTCTAACAATTTCTCACTTACTTTGAGATAAAAAAAAAAACTACCTACCTATAGTTTAACTTACTCCACATTATGAATTACAATGGAGTGCCTTAAAATGTATAATATTAGTGTACTGCTGAATTTGCCATACATAACAATGATACCTAAAAGCATTCATCTTCATTGTTTTCCATTTCAGGTTGCTTGTTAAAAAGAAACATTTTGGCATTTTTTGTTTGTAAATTCAAAAATATATATATTTCATAGCTAAGGTATTCCTTGTTACCTTTAAGATATTTGAAGACATTTGAAGTATAGCTAACTAATGAGAAAATAGTATTTATTTGTTAATATAAATATATTAGCTGATTGAATCATTTCTACATAAGAAATTTCGGGGGAGGGGGGGTTCATAGATGAAACATAACAAAAAACAATGATACATTACAATAACCATCCTATTTGAAACACAAATGGCAAAATTTACTGCAATAAATGTATCGAGCCAGAAAAGGTATCTGATTGAAAAGCAATAATGAATAAAAATTTGCTTGGTTGTTTATTTGAACCTCGAAGATATTTTTTATACTGTGGACTTTTTCATATATATATTACATATAAATCCGTGTATGATTCGTTATTTGGTTTTTTCGTTTCTAAATAAAATTGCAAAAACAAAACAAGCATGTGTTTTGTTGTTGTTGTTGTTGTTTCGTTTTTAAAACAAAATTAGAAAAACGGCAATTGCAAAAATAAAAAAGAAAATGAGCTATCAATTTCGGTTTTCATTATTTCATTTTTGGCAAGCGGTCTGTCCCGGAGGTTCTCTCTGTCCAGCTTACACAGGGACCGTATCACACACAGCTGCAGGGAGACAAGCTTGTTCATTTCAGGCTTATATACTGTAGTATTTTCTGCCAGCCGCAAGTCAGTTTAAGTAATGCTTCTGTGAGAAACAAATAATACCGGACATCTGGCCACCGAGAAAAATGAGTAGCCTGAGTTTTTAGTTTAGTTTTTTTAATTATTATTTTTGAAAGGCCAGAGCACCGAGCAGTGGCTTTCCAAACCAACCTGCACCCACACCCGTCTCGTCTCTGGACAAGCGAGATGGCCACCATTGCACTGCGCCACCAGCAGCGACAAACAGAGGTAAGTACACTATGAATTTGCCACAAAAAGTTGTTTAAGATGTTTTAGGCTAGAAAGTAGCCCTCATAGCTTCATTTACGCACTTAGTTATGTGCAGTTTGAAATATACTCCGGAGTTTTCGGAGCAGCGTAGCTCCGCTAACTGGGGCGTGTTTACCCCGCTAACCGCGGTCTGGGCAAGTCACCTTGTCGTATTCTGCTGCTTGATATCTGATCGTAGCGTCTCAAAGTGTACCATAAAGAGTTTAATGTGTTTTCATATATACTGTTTTATACGTATCAAAATATAATATTCCTCTCTGGAGAGTTCGACACTTCTGAAGATGTTGGTATCTTCTAAACATTGACATCATCCAATACCAGTTACTAATATTCCCTTCCTCTGATCTTTTTGTAGTTTGTAAATTCATATTATTTGTGTGCGTGAAATATATTCTTCCCTTCAGTTGGCTTCTTACGTGCAGTGTGAACTTTTTTTTAATATTAATTTTTATTCTTTCATACAGGCAGCTCTTCAGGAGGAGCTCCAGGTTTGGATGCAGCTTCCCAGAATCTCCCAGTGATCCTCTTCCTCCTCCTGACATCGTCTTCCTCACTGTCTCCTCATCTTTTATATACATAAATTATAGGAATATTTTTTCATGATTCCCCAAACATTGGCTGAATATCTGCTTGTATGTTATTGTAATAAATACATTTTTATGAAAAGATTTTGTCTCTGTTTATTTTGTAAGATTTGAATTTAAAGCTCTGACTACATATAGGTTGATACAAATTAAATATCAAATGATTATTTTAATGTTTCTTGCTTATAAATCCAGAGATAAGAAATAATGAAAAGCATCAACTCAAAAGTTGTTCATTATGTTTAGTCAGTTGAGTCTAATAAGTTATAATAAACAGGACACGCTGGAGGGACCATGTCTCTCAGCTGGCCTAGGAACGCCTTGGGATTCCCCTGGAGGAGCTGGAAGAAGTGGCTGCGGAGAGGGAAGTCTGGGCCTCCCTTCTGAAGCTGCTGTCCACGCAACCCAACCCCGGATGAGCAGAAGAAAATGGATGGATAGATAAATAGTCTCATGAAAGGGACAAAAATTTTCATTTCTAATTGGACTGTAATATGTCACTTATAAAAATGTGAAAAGATATGAGGTGTTAAACCACAGAAGAGGATAAGGGGCCTGTAACATTTTTCTAACACCAATTGATGTACAAGATGGTTGGGGTTTTTTTAGATTAAAGTCTGAATTCTGAGATTAAAGACATAATGATGACCTTCTTTTCTTTCCCAAATCCTCTTCTGTAGGCAAACATTTATTTAGTTAAGCTTTTAATAATCTGGCACATTATTTCAAACATCTCCTACCTGGTAGAAATCTATTTCCAGGTATTTGCCTGAAATAGATACTACTATCTATCTATTAGTATATTGTATATACAATTTTTTGTATATACAATACAATATATTGTATATTTATTTTGGATAAATATACAATATTTATCCAAGATATTGTATATTTTGGATAACCTTTTTGGCATGTTTGTTCATGACATACCGGATTATAATTGGTATGCTAATGCTATTCAGAAAGGAAAAACTTAAACGAAAGGGTTTGATTGACTGGCAGAATGTTCTAGTCGCGGTTTGAGCGTCTTTTTAAACCAGAGCAGATTAAAGGTTGGTAAAAAAAAAAAATAATAATAAATGAATAAAACTGGACGGACTAGCCCTTTAGATATTTGCTGAATAGGAAGCTGCATTTAGCAGCCATTAGCTTCATATACAAAACAAAGTCGGAGTTAAAGGCTATCTGTGTGAAAGTATCATGATCAAATTAATTAGATGTCGCTTTGGACGAGTGTAGAAAAACAAAGTGTGCGGGACAAAGAGAACTGTGCAGGCTTCAGGGAGACACGGTTGTTCGTTTCAGGCTATATATACTGTAGTTAGTATTTTCTGCCAGCCGCAAGTGACCAATGTCCGGTATTATTTGTTTCTCACAGGAGCATTATTTCAACTGACTTGCGGCTGGCAAAAAAAAAGACTACAGTAAATAGCCTAAAACGAATAAGCTTGTCTCCCTGCAGCCTGCATAATGTGTGTGATACGTCCCCTGTGTAAGCCGGACAGAGAGAACTTCCGGGTCAGATCGCTTGTCAATACTGAAATAATGACAAGTGAAATTAACAGGTCATTTTCTTTTTTATTTTTGCAATTGCCGTTTTTCTAATTTTACTTTAAAAAAAAAAAGCAAACAAAAAAAAAACATGCTTGTTTTCTTTTTCCAATTTTATTTTGAAACGAAAAAACCAAAGAAAGAACCATACACCATATTTTGCTTCCCATCCTGTATGCAATGGACAGGTCACTGTTACTGACTTAAACTTAGCACAGCCTAATTTGTAAATAACTAATTTACCAATCAATTTATCACTGAATGAAATTATAAAAGGGTTTATAAATTTGTCAACTGTAATATGAAATATTTTAGTTTTAAAATATTCTTTGCATAATATGCAAAGAAATAGCCGACAGCTATTCCAAACAGCTGCTGTCCTTCACATATTACGAGTAACAGTGGGCCTAAAATTCAATTTAAAAAACTGTCTATTTAAACAATGTTTGTAAACCAAACACAGGTTGTAATTTCTCTTTCATAATCATATGCAGATTTTGTTTATTGACAGTAGCTAAGACACTAAGCAATAAACCACAGCTTTAATTCTTTTGTCTCACCTCTGCTTCTGTTTGTTCATTTTCCTCCTTAGAGCACAATATTTTTATTTTATGTTAAGCTTAAAGTAAATATGCACTCCAAGGAATATTTAATGAACAATTATTTGTGTGTGGTATTGTGTTAGTTCAGAATAACACAAAAGTCAATTGGTTATTGACGCATTGCAAAGGGAAACATGATTCACAAACATTTCTAAGTTGCTCATACAGAAGCTTTTGGAAAATGTTTGTCTAGTGGGTCATTCCTGTTACCCTTCCTGTTTTGATAAGTCAGATTTCAGATAGTTATGTTTTCCAATTTTTTTATGCAGCCAGTTGAATCATCTTTACTAGAAAAAGAGTTCATATTCATGAATTCCAATTTGTGAGCTCTTTCAGGTAAGAACGTGCCTCCACTTTCACTCTGTTGTTCGTCCCTATAGACACCGACAGAGGTCACCTAGAGATTTAAACTAAATATTTCTCTGGAAAGCCATTTAGTTTGAAGCTACAAACAGAATATTTAACTCTGACCTAAATATGTAGTTAGTAAACTTAATGTTTAGCTCCAAACTAAATGTTTAGCTTGCTAACTAAATATTTCATTTGGAGCAAAATGTTTAGTGTAAAGCTAACTAGCTTGCAAACTGAATATTTAGCTTCAAATGAAAAACTACATTAATGCAATTGTTTTCTTTCTTTGTGACTTATCTCACAACTGTAATTAATAATTATTCTCTGATATTTACAACGCATTTTAACTAATCTTTGATAATATTGATAACTGTGATCAAGTTGCGATCAAGTTGCTCAAGATAAGCATGAAACTACATTTTCATATTGTTGCATACCTATTTAAGAAATGGATAAATAGGACATCTTTTTTTTTTAATATCAAGCATGATACTGTTGCTGCCCCAGCAGAAGAAAAACTCAGTAAGCAGCAGGGACACAACACAATGAATAACACAATCTTAACAACTTCTTGAAGAAAATGCTCATTTGCAATGCAGATTGAAACATACTCACATGCAACTTTAGAGCTGAATTGTGTTGTCACATTACAACTGTTGTGTTGTTATGCAAGACTATGAACAATGACTGTGAACATATTTCCAAAATTTCAGGCTGAAGCGGAACAAGTAAGTCTTTTGAATCACCTCCTCATTCGAATATTTCCAAGTCATTCTAGTCACTGCCGGCTGTAAGCTCTGCAGAGGACATATCAAACCTTCAGCTGTAGATCCTTTGACTTTACATTTTACACTTTACTGACACTGTGGAGCCCTCAAGGTCATTGTGTGAAACAGAGATGTAAAAGAAACGAGGGAAAGGAGGAGTGATTGATGCTTATGAAGAAACAGGAGCTGTGAGTTCACACGCCACCTGGTCTGCATAATGGACTGTTGGACACAATGATACCTTACGAGCAGCCACGGTAACGGGGTTGAAAGTTGAAAAACTCACTAGATGCAATTGGGCTTGAGAGATGGAAGATTTTATCTTATGTCTAGACTGATAACGTCTTCACATGAGGACAGCATATCGCAATGGACAGATTTTTGAAAAAAGTAAAACTATGCTGTGTTACGCAGGTGTAAAGTAGTATCATTAGAAAATATGAGATTTTTTCAGTGGCTGTTTTTGTACCAGCTCAAATGAAATGCCATCCATCCATCCATTTTCTTCCGCTTATCCGGGGTCGGGTCGCAGCGGCAGCAGCTTCAGAAGGGAGGCCCAGGCTTCCCTCTCCCCCTCCTCTTCTTCCAGCTCCTCCGGGGGAACCCCAAGGCGTTCCCAGGCCAGCCGAAAGACATAGTCCCTCCAGCGTGTCCTGGGCGTCCAGTGTTTTTCTTGGTGTGATGTTAAAATTTGCATAAAGCTCTGAAATATCTCAGTGTCAAATAAGCAAATACAAACAAAAACAGTATTTTTTCATGGAATTGGTCCCCACAGTGGACTTTTGTCAAGTCTTTATATTTCCTCAATCTCAATTCAGTTCCTTGTTTCCTAATGCCTGTGATATGCCTTTGACAAAATACCACTAAGGGCTACATTTTCCATCCAGAACTTCCTTGCCTCTTTACAGCAGCTTTAAGCACAGACTGTGCTCTAAATGATTCACATGCAGGACGACGGGCGATCCCATGCCTCATTGCATCGAGATGTAAGAAGACCTAAAAGAATTCCTAAAGAATGCAACATGCAACAGGTCCAGTTGGGAGACAAATAATACAAGAAACAAGAATACCACTCAGTAAAGCCGGTAGAAACTCTGTCTTGGAAGAAGCAGCACCTGCCTTTCTATGTGTACCCAAGGCAATCAGGAAAGTAAACACCTATAACCTCCAAATTAGTTACAACTGACACAGGTAACAATGAATTTAAAACATTAAAGTTCAGGGGGGTGGAGGAGGGGTGAATGGTCAAAGATTGACTTCCACAATGTCCTACTCCAAATTTATGTTTAATCCAGAAAAATATCAAGCCTGTGACATTGAGGATTTAAGAGAAACTAAATTGCCAGAGTTGCTGTGTTGCACAAACTGAGAGACTTCACCGTGGGAGATTCCTGTCAAGCACTTAAAGATGCATGAGAGTGCTTCATCATTAACGAGACGTCAAGACGGAAAGTTCCACAACGATTTCGAGATAATGGACAAGGAGTGACGGACATTACAGATAAGTTAGAAGGGCACAAATTAAAGCTGAGGTCAGAAGGAAAGCAAAGAGTAGGGTTACAAAAATTATTACTGTTGTGATTAGGAGAACTACTACAATATTTATCAAAGCATTGATAAATTACCATGTTTTTATTTTTGTTTGTTTGTTCTCATTTAGATACAAAGTATTTCCCTTCATTCATATTTAAAATCAGCTGATGGTGCAAGTTTCAGCCAAATTCCAGAAATTTGTAGTTGTTTCATGGACAGGAGCATGGCCTCTTAAATAAATACACTTGAATAAATAGTTATTAGTCTTTATTAGTCACAGTATGCAAGTAATATTCACCCCAGTCTCAGAAATTTTCATTTTTCCTTTATAATACGAGGTCTTCCAATTAATTAACCTTACCATGGTGAAGTTACAAACAACTGGGTGGTCGTTGTTTGTGCCTGTGCTGCTCCCAAGACGTGGAATAAACTTCCACATAATTTATGCTAAACTGACGATCTGGTGCTTTTTATGTCACGACTTAAGACTTTTTTTGTTCAAATTGGCTTCTAATACTTGGCGCCACTGTGATGCCCTGGCACACATTTGAGGTGATTTTTGTTTCTCTGTTTCCACGTTTTTAAATTGATTTTACTGTCACCATGAGCTGCTGAGCTCTGAGTGTTACGTCTTCTGTCTCATTTTTCTTGCGTTTCAGATTACTCGTGTTACTTTTACCTCAGTGCTTCGGTTTACTGGTCTTCTTACACCTGTTCCCCGTCCGCTCATTTACACACCTGTGTTGCATCCAATAATCAAAGTCCCCATTGAGAGGGCTTCTCGTTTAGTCACCTGATGTCAGATCCTCCTGTTGTCCTCACAGTGGTTGTTTGTTGTCATCGTTGCATCATCGCTTTCACTCTCCTCCTACTATCTACATGTACAGAGGTCAGCTAATAAATGGCAACATGACCCTTTTATATGCTTTTAATTTGTTATATTTCATTATTATTGTGTGTGTGTGAGCGTGTGTGTGTGTGTGTGTGCGCGCGTGTGCATCTTTGTTTATTTTCAAAATCCACTTCATTGGCCAAAGCTGTATGCAAAACCGAGGAACTTGACTTTGGTTTTCAAGCGCCAACAGCAAACAGGCAAAAAGTTTAAACGTTTAAACTTTAGAGAAAATAAAATACAATTAAAGGAACAATACGTAACAATATTTATGACATTTTATTTTATTAAAAATAGAGAAAGGTACAAAAATGCTCATTTTGTTCCCAGTTACTGACTTCTCTGGCTTCATAGTGACTTTGTTTTATTTTTATTTAAGTGCTTTGGTAACCTTTTGGATGTTTAAATATATTTTTAACTGTTTGTCATTAATCTTAATTCTAAACATGGAGACTTTTTGTGTAATCACTGAGTTAGGGGAGCAAAATCCCTGAGTTTGCTCAGGGATAAAATAAGTATGAAATAAAACAACAAGGTCATCAGTAGTCGTGTTTGTATTGTGTGTAGATGGTCACTTCAGTGACAACAGAAATAAATAAACTTACAAAGTGATGTTTTAGCCTTTACATATTTATCACTGACTGCCAAATAATGCTTAAAAAACACTTTGTTGTTGCATTTATTTAATTTCATTCATAAAAAGGGGAAAACATCATAGCTTGGTGAGACTGAGATAGCAAATTTGTGCTATATTACAGAGAGCTATACTGGGCACATTTCAACAAATATTTGTAAAATATTACTAACTATGGACAAATGGCATTTAGGTAAAGTACTGACCTTACCATAATGAACACAAAGACCATTGTACAAGCAACTCTGCACTTTGACAAAGCAGCTGCTGTCAACAACCTCCTCTTCCATGGTCATCTGAGGCGTCATCTTGATTGTGGTTGAAATGCACAAAACGGAAAAAGGAGATTCTAGAAATTGAGCATTTACTCTGGGCAAAAGTGGTTAAAAAAAACTCTGGGAACAAAAGTTATGTCTCATCTTCTGGTTATAGCAGTAAAACATAAGAGATGCTATTTAATCACAAGTTTTAAAATGTCTCTCTGAGACCAATTTAGAACAATACAGTGTTTCACTTCTGCTCGCTTTGGTTATTCAAGTTTGAAGCATGAACACTTAACAGGTTTTATTGGATTTAATGGAGCCAACAAGCTTGACTCTCGGACCACATAAAGCATTATCTGCCATTATGTAAAAAATTGTTTTACCCAATTATGTCTGACTATTACGCTGTTGATTTCAGGTTAAAGTTAAATAACTTATAGGCAGTCCTCTCTATTCATTTTTCAACAAACTTGTACAAAGTGTTTGCTGCTGGATGATGCCGTCGTCAGAAAATTGGGTCTTGGGATTTGCTAAGAAATTTGCCTTGATTTCAACGTGCCAGTTTCAGTCCACTAGTTTAAACTTGGATTCAACTGGACGTTTCAAACAGAAAATATTCCCGTACAGACATCAGAACTGGATTTGTAATGAATAAAGCAGTATAACATTAAACTTCTCGACTAGTCATGAAATGTACGTATTAGTTTATTGGAAATCATACTGTTTAAGTGACTTAGCTTTGACTAGTGGTATTTTCTTATCTATTCAAGCAGCAGGAAAAAAAAAAACTAAGACTCCAAACACATTTATTGCAAAACTTACCAGCACTAATCAAAAATTAGAAAAAAGAATGTGTTCAAAATGTTGATAAAGTCACAGGATAAAACAAGCACTAAAATAATGAACAACACACTGAATTCAAAGGAAGTGTTTTACAAAGAACACCCGTTCCTGGTATCTGTCATCAGAGACCTGAGGCACTTTTTCTCCATAGCTTCTCTCTAAATGTGAAAAACACCCAATGAAACGGACAAAACAGAAACAAACCATAAAAGCAGACTGTATTTCCTTGCGACTCCATAAGAGTAGGAGTCTGTAAGGCCACACAGACAGTAACCTGACATTCAGAAACGTCAACATGGTGTACTTCGCAATAAATGTGGTTTTAGTGGATCAGAGTGCTTAATATGTTCAATTACTGTAACGGTTATAAATGTGTTCAGTTACTTTCTGCTTCTGACACATGACTAAATTAAATGTCTTATAATCTTACCAATATTTACCATTTTTCCAATGTTCCTGCAGCTGATTTCGTTTGAAATCAAAAAAGTACATCAGAAAGTAATAAATCCTGCTCCTCTCACACGGCTTTCTGCTGTGTGTAAACCTTTAGCCAGAGCAGCAGCAAGGTCATCTGCGTTAACCTAAAACACAAAGACAGTCCATCTCAGTCAAATCAAGTCAGAATTGAGTTGCTAAGATTAAAAGGACAGCTTGTATTTGTGGTAAAATCAATATCTCCATATCAAAGCATGTAACAACATTTCCAGGTCGAGGTGAAGAACAGAACATCTTACCGGTCTTTTATTAGCTTCTTGAGGCTACAGATGACAATGTTCAGGAAGAAAAGCCCACAATGTCCTATGAAATACCAATTCCAAACAACAAACTCAGGGATGTCTTTAAGCAGCATCTTCAGTCTAAGTGAAAAAAAATAAATAAAAAAATACATAGTTATGGTTAAATTGTGTTAACATATATATCTGACTTACTCAAAAATACAGTGCTGTAAAAACAAATGCTTCCCCTTTAGAGTCACATTCGTTTTACCAGACAAAGACAGCATGATTAAGCTTGTAATTTACAAATATAAAGGCTTAAAGACAAAAAGTTCCACTTTTGTCTCCTGAGTCCATAAAATATTTACCCAAAGGTCCATGCATGATGTGATCCTAGTTCAGATCTTTTAGCCTGACGGGTTCCTTTAATGTATTTTTTTTATTATTATTATTATTTATCAGCTCTGGCATTAGTTAGCCCTGGTGGTGGCTTATGAAACTGAACGCTCCCCAAAAAATATGGTAGATCACCATGTATCACAATTCCTTGTTTAACAAAGGGTAATTTCTATTTTCACATCGGACCAACTTTGATTAAAAAAAAAGCAAACATTTTGTGTTGCCTTCAGTGTATTAATCACCCTTGTCTACTTTGAAGCACAGCATAGAATGACACCACGAGAGGCAGAAGCAGGTGAGAGAAGATCCTCACTGGTAACCCAAACATACTCAGGAAAGTTGTCACATTCCCCATCAGAACTGAAAGATAAAAGAACACAGTTAACGGAGTAAATCAGCATAATGATCTCAGTTTTAAAGATTAAAGATGTAACGAATCCCACTCCAAATTCAGCTTAATAATTTGAAAAAAAAATCCATCGTTACGTCACCTGCATTTAATTCAGTTTTCCAGTTTCAGATTTCTTTGAACTGAAAGCCATGTCTCTCAGTGAAGCTGCCTTCATGGTTAGTAATGTCAGATGTCAACAGAATGACTCATTGCTTTGACTTTGAGACAGCATGTTTTCTTAGAGATGCTCTGGTTGTGATTTTAGATTACCACCCATGGCTTACAGATAACTCTTGTTTGGCTAAACAATTCAGGAAATTTGAACATTAATCAATTAGCTGTTAAAGATGATTGCTTGCGCTTAGTGACGACCTTACCATTCTTCATTAAGTAAAAATGGTGAAGAGGATCTTCACTGGGCTCTTGCACGGTGGAGCTGAACATTTGCATGGATCTGTGCTCCTTGAAAGATGTTTTCAGGTCGGTTTGTTCCCCTCCTTTCATCTTCTGCTCCTCTACTTTGGACGTATTTGGACTGGTGGAGTTACCATTTGAGGACCTGTGGGATACACTACGCCCCACCTTAGCGAGAGCAACATCTAAAATAAAAAATACATGCTTCAATGATTTTTCTCTCCTAGAGAAATGAAATGCTTCGTAAGCTTAAAGCGTTTCATTTTGAACTTGACTCACCATTGCTCTGAAGGAAGTCGATGGCATCTTTGTAGCCAAAACTGAAAGCTTGTTCTGCAGCCTACAAGGGTAAACAAACAGTGTAACTATGGGGGCAATATGAGATCCATGCGTCAGTAGTTGGATATGTTTTCGAAGACCAACACCAAGTTAGATCTCTCTTTTAAATAACAATGAACGTTTGTATAGCATAGTTACTACGCTTAGATACATAAGAGGCTTTGAACTGTTTTGAATCAAGGGAATTTAAGTCGACACAAATAGATGCCGACATTGTGGAAAGTTCACCTGCTAACCTGAAGGGAAAATGTGTGTGTACCTTAGTCTTGTTAAATGAGAAGAGCGGGGTGTCAAAACTAATTTTGTAATGATGGTCATTAATGTAGATACTACCTCGTAATGTAATACTTTTGGCCATTTTGTGTTTTGTATTAAATTAATAGTGTAATACCTGGTCAATAATGTAGTTAAGCCAAGTTACTAAGTTGAAAGCCATAGGTACTATTTCGACATAATAACTGATAAAAGAAAAATAAATCCTAATTAGGTTTTCCTAAATCTTAAGAAATGTAATGAAATATATAAGCATTTTAATTATGTGTGAATAGTGGAATTTGTGTAAATAAAACATTTTTTGCAGTTGCGTTAGGATGTGATTATTGTCCAGCATTGTATTATTGTTTGCTACAGGGGGGGTAATTGAAAAAAAGTTGTTGGCAATTCATTAGAATAAAATAGAGACAAGTAAGATTTCTGACTACTGAAGTCTCTGAATGTCATTCAGTAAAACTACTGTACAACACATTAGCAATGCAAAAAAAAAATAAAAACTTTTATCTATAAAAAAGAAAAAGTCCAATACAGCATCTTACCTCTAAAGTCACAGGGTAAAGACCATTGATGATTCGGAAGGTGTTAGCCATGTTGACCTTAAGAAGAGCTCCAGAAGCTACCAGGTCCATCACACACGGAGGATCAGCTGGACATATATCAGCTTCTCCAGAGAACGGGCATACAGTTAGTGTGTGGCTGGACGCCCCGGAGAGCAACGGCTGGAATCCACTCAAGCCACCATCAATGTAGTGCTGTTGAAACATAAAAACCTCGTGACTTAGGGAACTCCTCGAATTAGTTCACGAGTTCTTCTGAAATACTCACCACTCCGTTGAAGGCCGGAGGCAGAAAGCCACAATATCCAGGGACAAAACAGCTACACAGGAGAGCCTAGAGACAGCACACAACAAGTAACTATTAGCCAACAAATACAGCACATATAGACTTGTCGGAAATTTAATACATTCATCAAGGATATAAATGTCATCAATTTTGTGCTTTAAAGGGACAAAGTCATGCATTTTGTTTTATTGCGCAATCAAGTCACTATGATACTTTCAGTGGTTATACATAACTTAAAAGAAATTTGAGTCTCTTAAGACATCATCACAAAAACACTTTTCCATTATGCCGTTTACAGCCACTCTTAGGAGATTCGTACTCAACCATGCATGAAAGAATCAAAGCAATATTCCAGGTACTATTTTGATGAGAGAATAGCAATATAACTTGATATTAAGCTCAAAAAGTGTTTATTTTGTGAAACTGTCCACAGTGGAGAAAGTTTTACATCATCATTTGTGAGATGGTGCCAACCTACAATGAAGGGCGGTTCAAAGATCGGCACCTACAGGCATCAGACATTCAGACATGAACAAGCCTAAGTATTTTGTTGCCAAAGGAAACAAAAAAAAGGATGAACTTCTGGCTTTGAAAAGAATAATGACAAGTTTTTCTAAAAATAAATAAATAAATAAAAATAATAATTTCCCCGTTTTTTTAAACGACGAGTAAATAGAAATAATTTTGGCAATTCTGAATAATTTGCTGAAAGAAACATTTGATGTCATAAAAATCACTTTTAAAGTGTGTTTGAATATAAGACAGTTAAAACATAAGGGTATGTTGGTAGTTAGCTTATGTGTCTCATGACAGTACAGTGTATAAAGAGACACAGACACGTTGTGAAGACAGATTGCAATAGATGCACTGTACTGCAATCTATTTAATGGTTTCCACAATAAACCATTAAATAGAATGCAATGCAGCATGCCACTATGATTACTAAGGTTAATAATATATCATGGAGAAAATATATATATATTTTGCAGGAGAACAAACTTACATTCACTACATCTTCTTTGGACTGAAACTCTGACACGATCAGGTGCTTCCCATCTGACAGTCGTGTCACAGCAACACCAAGGCGACCACTTGCAAAATGGTGTGCATCCGAAGGAAGGTGCTTGCGCAAAACACTTTCCAACCACTTGAAAACGTTGACTGAAGGGTTCAGTGGTCCAAGTGGGGCAGCCATCACCTGTTTGACAAAAAGGATGATCTCATCCCGAATGGTAGCTGTGACGTGAAAGAACACTGGGGTTAAAGTCGCAGTCGCAAATAGCAAAGCAAATTTAGAACAATCAACAAATCCACTTACCTGGGTTGATTTTACAGACAACCGCAGCTGCTACCACGGATCCGGCAGATGCACCGAGGATGTGGGGGGCCGACTGCAGGATCCAGGGTGTGTGCTTCAGGAAGCACAGAACAACCCCGAGCTGGTAGGTAGCCAGGAATCCAGACCCAGAGAAGGAAATATCATAAGGAACCTCACGAAAGTGAGAGCTGGAGATACTGTGGGGCATCTTGCAAAGTGTCAACAACCTAATAATTATTTATCAGCATTAATCTAATCGGCATTAGAGAGTCGACAGCAAATGAAAAATACCAAGTTGGAACAGGCATTTATGAAGCATTCAGTCAAAAATGTTTGCGGGCGAGTCGGGCAGAGTTTTTAGATACGTCCCGATTGGACACATCGTTTTGGTCATGGCCATGTGATCTGGCAGTTTCAAGGCCTTCTTGTTTAAGTCAGAAAGCACTTTCAGTTCTTAAGTTTATAATGCTGTTAGATACAAATTACAGGCTTATGACTGACGTACACCAGAGAATTTAAAATATATCGACAATAGTTTATTTCTGCAAAACACACCCCAAAATACATGTAATGTCTTTGGTATTCATTTCATTTAGATTTTCCTTGATTTCCTAATTGTTTTCACACCAAATTCAAACAGTTTTTTTTTTCTTTGCTTTGAGAGGATTTAAAGACCATTAGCGCAACTTGCAATTTTCACAAAACACACACAAACCAAAAAAAAAAAAAGAGAGGGAGAGAGAGAGAGAGAGAAAACAGCCAGTTAATAGCTGAACCAAAGCATTTCCACAGCATCCCCTGCAGGTACAACTTTGGCACACTGCTAAACAACAGAGTGTAAAGGGAGATCTCTTTCCCATCTGCAAAGACAGATTTTGTTATTTTTATTTTAGCAAATGATGCTGTATGATATGATGCCCCTCTAAAAGTATTCATACCCCAAGAAATGTTTTCAATTTGTAAAGGGTAAAAGCAAAGGGTATGAATAAAAGTCTAAAGTGTGGCATGAGCGCCTTTAATTCTGTTCTCTGTATAAAATCATGTGCAACCTGCTACACTCAGAAGTCACCTCGTAATGAAACACTTTGTGTTTAATTTAATTTTGAAACCCACGTCTACGAAAGCATCGAGCGTTTGTTTGAGAACATTTGACAGGTCATAGGTTCTCAAACAAATTATAGGCTTAAGTTTGGCAGAACTGCAATGTCCATTCATAGCAGAAAGAATGGATAATCTTCATTCTCTGATTGGAGCTGGGAGAATTTCACTCGGGGGAGGAATCAAATAGGAGTCCCATAGTGGATCTGGGGAAGATACAGAGGTTTAGAGCTCAAATAGTTTAGGATGCCAACCTTTGTTGTTTCCAGAAAGCCATGGGAAGACATATTTAAAGCTTCCCATAATATGCAAGTGAAACATCAGGCTTCTGTCAGATGACCAACTAAACTTTACTTTTTGGGATACATTCAAAACTTTATATGTGGTGGAAAGCTAATAGTTTCCAACTTTATTGTAAAACATGGCGGCAGCAGTTCAAGTGTTGTGAATATTTTTTCAAGGCACTATGTTTTGGTAACTTTCTGTGTTTATGAACAGCAATAGAAATTTTTGACTGTCTTATAAAACATTTATTTCCATAAAGCAAAGCAAACATCCAAAACTCTCACAAAAAGAAATTCTTCATTATATATATATATAAAAATATTAAAACAAAAGAACCAGCAGAAATTTTGTTTGATCACAGTTAGCCCCTGCTTCAGCTATCATTTATATACCAGACTGGAATGGTTTGTGAAGATAAACCCAGAAATCATATTGTGATTGTGTTTAACAAACCCATATGTGCTACAATGATTTTTATGGATGAATCAAGATATTTCTTTTTACCTGAATGTTAGTGTTCATTCACATGTAAAATGATGAACAGCACATAAAGCAACCTCAGAAAACATCTAGAATATTCAAGTCAATCTGTACAAGCATGGATCATTTTCAAAACTGAAACTGTCAAAAGAATATATATATATATATATATATATATATTTGTTCTGCCTGAATATTTAAAGCTGTATGTTATTCTTCTCTATCCCACTGGAGCACCAGTCGGGGGAGGCTGTGGAGAAGCTCGGTCGGGCGAAACCTCAAAGTGATCGTCACTGAGATCCTGCAAAGGACTGCTGTCTGCAAAGTCCACATCCTGAGGTGGTGTATGGTCAGGGGACCCGGATGTGTCAATTTGTTGCTTCCTGATGTCTTGGGGGAGTTTCAGAAACCTGAGGGGAATCAATGGGAAAACAGTAAGCATGATATTGCTAGGTTTTTGAGAGGAGAAAATAGCTTAATGGTGAAAAAAGCTAAATCACCAGAGACCTGAACAGGAGTTTTTGTCCTCGCTCCTTTTGGATGATGTTCAGCTTGTAGTAGTGCCGCAGAGCCCGAGACATTTTCTCATAGGTCATGTTGTCTCGGTTCTGTCAATGGAGTAAAGACGCCACTAAAAAAGTCTGCACTGCTTGAAATGACGGTTCTGTGTGCCCTGCCTTTCCTTAATCTGTTCAATTTCCTCAAGGGCTGGTGACTCACCTTGTGGTTTCCCCAGAGGCGCGCCAGTCCGTTGGGGTCAACCACCCTGAATATGTGTGTGTCGGGATCTTCCCACCGAATGTAGTCTTGGTAGCGATCGTCACACAGCAGCTGATACACGTAGTCCCACAGCAGTCTGCACTCTGGTCAAACACAAATTATGTCTGTTTAAGCTTCTTTCGCCCATTGTAGATATCCCAAGGACACAAAAGACATAGATTTAGGCCATAGGCTTAACTGGACCCCTGAATGTGTGATGTGGTATTTGACACCAAAATATTGCAAGTTCAATGGGGAAACCTGCATGGATTATTCTCCATGTCCTCCTTTGTATGATTGATGGATTGAGATCCAAGAAGTTTGGAGGCCACAGAAACAACTTAAGATCATCGTTCAGCTCTTCAAACCAGGTTGACAGTACCTGGTATGCGTCCATTGGCTTTGTGCAGTGGGCTCCTCGGCCTCTCTCGGCTGGATAGGTTGAGAGGCTCCTGTATCACGCTTTCTTTTAGAGGAAGTGATTGAATTTGGTTTGGAGGTAAAGCAGGCACAGCTGCTGAACCAACTATGAGTGAGGCAAAGTAAAGAGATAAAACAAACAAAAGATCTTGGTCAATACAGCAGGACAGAGAATTCAAGTATTTCTGGAATAGTTGTTTTTAAATACTCACTGTTATGAGTGAGTGGAGCAGAGTAAGGGTAAAAAACAGGAGGGCGCTCTCTGAGAGGAGAAATGGGCTCAGGCTGATTGCTTGCAGTAGCTACAACAGCTGCAGAAGCTGCAAGGAAAACTGTCAGAGTGAAATATGAGGAAATGTGAAAAGCTAAACAGAAAGTAAAACCAATGTCTTGCAACAGCTTCAAAATCTTACATGAACAGGAGTTATCAAACATCAATTTCAAGTTTAACGTAAAAAAGATATTTTCTCATCGGTTTACACGGGGCTCTCTGTAAGGCATTGAATAAAGCCAAAACAAAAAGGAAGACAACAGAGTTGTGAGATTATACCAACTATCTATGCAGCTACCTCCCATTAGCACACATCCGTCTTCCTAGAATGGAAATCACCCTTTTGTGGTTGGGTCAAAGAACAGGAATGCATGTGGCTCAACTGCACTCATGTTCAGCTTTATGAATTAGGCAGCTCATAAGTTACTGGTATTTGAGTTAACACTTTTCTTTTTGAACAAAATGGTCGAAAGAGCTGTGATAAATAAATCAATTCACTGCTACACTACAATTAAAAACGGTAACGTATAACATTATTTGGAGGCATTTTGCAACACCTGCGTCAATAACTTGCTGAAGGAAAAAGCATTAAATGAAAGTCAAAAATGAGTTCTTGATACTCGTGATGGTAAGTTGCATAGATAAGGCAATTTGATTTGACTCTTCACAAATGCAGCAAGAAAGAGCATGAAGGTAGCATCAGTGTGTTTAGACATGTTTCCTAGCCAACACATTCTAGAATAAACAAGTCTGATTTGATATGCACCAAACCAAAAACAAATATTGAATTTGAGCACACTGAATTTATAGTACTTGCTTCACCGTACTTTTTCTTTCTACAAGAATATATACTTGGTTGCACAACTTTCTGCAAATGCTTCGTTGCATTCTTTTTTTTTTTTCTTTTTTAAACATGTTGCATAATTTTCTACTAAGTTTCTTTTCCGGATTTTGAACTGACTTTAGCATAGTGTGATCATACAGCTGGATCTCCTTAATTCTAAAATTACTGTTTGGAAAATGCCACCCTAATGCTCCTTAAGACGCTTTTTTTTTATATGCTGTAATTTGGATTTAGTTTTTCTTGTCTGTGCTTGCCAAAATGCAACTGAAGAAATTCCAAGCTGAACACATTACTCCTGATAAGGAGAACAAATTTAGCTTTGCAGTGCTTTTGGAAAACTTCGCATAAGCATCAAGCCTTTTCAAATTTCACCATGCTACGAACCAAAAAAGGATTTTATTGGCTAGCAAACTTATGCAAAATAGTGGATATGTTTGGAGGAAACGAAAGGTGGAAAAAGGCCCTTTTTTTTTTTTTTTTTTTTTACAAATAAGTATCTAAAAACGGTGATATGCATTTGTATTCACCACCCTTTTTAGTGAATGCTTTGCAGAACCACCTTTCCCTTCTAGGTTATGCATCTCCCAGCTTAGCACATTCAGCTAAAATTCTTGTCCATTCTTCTTTGCAAAATAGTTCAAACTAATACTAGATGAAGAACATCTGTAAACAACAGTGGCCTTGCCAGCTGAACACATGTTTGAGCTTTTACTTGGTCATTCAAACCCATTAGACTGCTTGCACTATGTTTGGAGGTGTTGTCCTTACTGACTGTGACCACCCTAATCTATCTTCTTTGTTTGTTTTTTTTTTTTTTTTTGCAATTTTTAATTTGTTTTGTCCCCCCATGCTTTTGTGTTTTTCTTCGTCCATTTT